CTTTTCTCTCCCTCAAGTTTATTCTGAATTTTATTTCAGTACTGTACTGCTGTTGTTTTTCCTTACTGATTGGGGATGGTGGGGTGAGGGTAAGAAAAAAAGACTATTCCTGCAGTGGAAGCAGTCTGCAACATTGCAGTGTAGAGAACAAGTTGTGCTGCATTCAAAGTGATGCTGTTTCACCACAGTCCAGTAGCACAACCTGCACAAAGAGAGTTGCACATCTCTGGAGATCCAACTCTTTGGATTCCTGCTTTTTCAAAAATACCTAAAGCCTGTTTGAGGTGTCCACTGAGCAGGCTTGTTTGTGTTGCCATGAGAAGGTTAATTGTGCTTGGTGCTGTGATTGTACTAAAAGGTTGGTGTTAGTAACTTTTTGGAAGCACACTTGGGCTGCCCTTGCAGCAATCCTGAATAAAATTGTTTCTTTGTGGCTTTGCTGAGTAATGCACCATGTATTTGAAAGTGCAGGATTTTCTTGTACAAGTAAATGGCTGTGCTTGAAGTACTTCATTCCTTGCAACAGGAATATAAAATCCACCCAAAAAATACAAGGCATGGAGAGAAGGGATTATTGGGAAGAGGATCAGGGAGCTCGGTTCACAATGTGGACATTTAGAAAGGACAATCCATGTGCTCTGATTTATTTTGAAATGTTTAACCTGTCCCGCTTGCCACTAAAGAATACTTAATTTCACAAATTAATATTTGACTGTTTCTTCAGTTGAAATATTTATATCTAGAGTCTCCTGAGCTCACTGTCATACTTTCCTTTATTTTCAGGATACAGGGGTTGGGAAATCGAGCATTGTTTGTCGATTTGTCCAGGATCACTTTGATCACAATATTAGTCCTACTATTGGGTAAGTACCACATGTATCTTTTTTCTTCTATACTTTTAACTCACTGTCCTTAGCTAAACTCCTTTCTTTCAAGGCTCTGAACACTGTATATATATATATATGTATATATATTTTTTTTTTTGCTCCACCTTATCAATCTCACTCAACTCTTTACTCTTTAATGGCTTTCAGCTCCTGTTACCTGTTTAGGTAGTCTTAGGCTGCCCCAGAACAAGTCTGCTCTGCTGTCCTGGTTCTGGGAATACAGGGGGGTCCTAAATGTCCTAGATTGCATCATACTCTGTTATGGAGAAGCTGACAGGGCTCTGCCATTCACCTCCTGTGAATGGTGTCTCTTGAAATAGCCACGCTTTATTGACTTATGTTGGGCAGGGCCATGACTTCCAGCTGTTCTGTTTTGGTTTTCTTCACCATCTTACCCCAGGAGATTCTTGGATGTCTTTCTTGGCTGGTGTGTTTCTTTTTGTCTTGTCAAGAGCTTCCTACTTTACATTGTGTTTTGGTCCTAGGACTGTAGGATTAAGGTCACTTTAGTTCCCACTGGTCAATGAGGTATCAAATCTGCTCCTTGGAGCTTAAAGAACCAAAGCCTCACCAGCCCCAAAAAGGTTGTGATCTGCACAATGACCAGGACACCCCATGGCTGAGTAATGGCAGGAGAACTGTGGGGGACCCTTAAGATACTTCAATTGTATGTCCTGCCAGGCTTGGGTGGGACATGGATGCTGTCTGTTCGAAGATGTGGACATGCTGTCATCTAGGTTACATTACCCTGACTTCCTTAAAGTAGGGACAATGCAATTTAAATTAAGTATAATTAATTCACACCAGTTCTTCTTTAAAAACTGCCAAGCTTCTGTGTGTCAGACCTTCAGAAGCCTATCAGTACTGTAGTTGATTTTCATTCCAAAATTTTGTCGTTTATAATCTTGGGGACAAATCTGCCAAGTCCAACGTTACCTGGAAAATTTTGAAAATTCTTCATTTCTTGTGAGAAAGGGAGCTAATACAAACTGTTCACAAAGGAGTGATTTGAATGTGAAGGACTGGTCTTGCTTGCCTGTTAGAGCTGTTTTAAATGATCTGTGAAGGATTGGTATTGATTGCTGTGTGTTGCACAGAGGATTAGATGATCTCTTCCAAAGTTCTGCCTTTCAATGCATGAAGGAGTCTCAGCTGGAAGTTGCACTTTAAAATTTCAGGACAATTTTTGGCCTCCTGAATGTAATGAATGGAGAAAAACCGACAGAGAGAGAGGCAGCATGTAATGAATAACATTAGTGACTGAAGGACACTTGTTTGCAGTGAAGAAATTGATGGGAACTCGAGTGGTTCTGTACTTCTGAATCATCAGCAGCCTTTTCCCCAAGAGGTGGTTGTTGTTAAGTAAATGACTTCTGGTCAAATGAAAAAAGAAAAAAATCCCTTTAATTTTCGTAATTGTGATAGCAGAGGGAAAATATTCTTCTATTTGAAGATTAAAATGTGAAGGCTAGCTTGCATGCAGGGGATATTATTTGTCTGTCTAGATAAGGTTTTAATTTTTATTCCAAATTAATCAAATGTTTTCCTGCCGAGGCTCTAAAGTTTCTGTTTTTGAAGCTGTGAAATGTTGCTTAATACTTTGAGAAGTGACAATTGAAAGCACACACCCTGAAAATAACCACAGAAAATGCTGCTTTTTGTGCCTTACTTAATATATTTATAAGCAATGCAGCATTGTTAAATTTGAGCAATTTGCAGATGTCTGTAGAGGAGAATTGTGGTAGATCATTCTCAGGAAATGTTTTGATCAGCCATATGTCATTTTATGTCATTTGGTACTTTTGTAATGACAATGCATTGCAACAAATGCATTTTTATGAGACAGGAAAAAAGTTACCACAGCAGAAGTTGTTCAGCAGTGTCCAGATAGGAAAAAAAAAAATAATTTATCAGAGTTTGGCAGTATCTCCTAGCCAGCTTTCAATTGAAATGCTGTAATGTAGAAAAAGCCTATACATTTGTAACTGTGTTTCCTAAAAAAAGAAAAATCACACTGTAAATACATAGAAAAATCGCATTTTCAAAAAAACCCAAACCAACCAAACAACAAACAAACAAGAAGCCACAAAAATTTCTTCATCTGAGTTGAGACAGGGAAGAACTTTTTTCCATTTGCTCGCCACATGCATTGCAGCAGGTGATGTGTCTGTTCCCTGGTGATCCAGTCCTATAGGTTTAACAGAAGTTATGTGTTGTGCTTTGATGCTGGCTGACATATTCTCATGTCCCCGTCACCGAGAAGATGGAGCTAGCTACAGCAGAAGCTAAGTGTGAGCAGCAGGAACACTGTGTTCCTGGGCACAAAAGCACTCTCAACCTCAAAGGCTTTTCCCTTCTTTTAAAATACATATATAGGTATCATATATTTTATCTGAGAAAAAAGGGGACTTTCACTTCCGTAGGCTTTTTATCAAGGTTTTGGAGTTTCCTCCTATGCAGTTTAACCCAGCAGAACTGGCTAAGGTTTATGGGTTGCATATTCAGAATGTTGGTCCTGTTATGAATTTCTGCTGCTTCCTTCTTTTCAGAGCATCCTTCATGACTAAAACTGTGCCTTGTGGGAATGAGCTTCATAAATTTCTGATCTGGGACACAGCTGGTCAGGAACGGGTGAGTTTTACATTGCAATATGTCTTTGTTATCCCTGTCTGTTTTAATGCGTTGGCGTACTTCATCTTCAGAATACTTCCTAAGTATAAACCTACTGAATCTCTGCAAGGCTCTGCAAAGCAGATGGTCAGCAGTCACCAAGTGTTTGGGTTGCCATTTCACAGGTAGGAAAGATGCAGAGGCACCCTGACCATACCACTTACCTAAAAAAAAAAAAGTCTGGTGCGAATTGTCAGCAACTTTCTTCCAGTGTCCCGCCTGTCTCCAGCTCCCCACTAATTTAATCGTGTTTGTATGTGGCAGCTTTCATTGATGCTGGAAAGCACTTGACTTCCATCACATGGGCTGGTGAGTGGTCTGAGCTTAGGTGGTGACTCTGGGGTTGTCCTGAGTTGGGACATGAATAATGGGCATGGGTTGCATCAGTTGTTACTATAATCTAAATTAGCGCCAGCAACCTGAACCACTTAGGGGTTTTGTCTTGATTTTTTTAAGTGAATTGCTCATATTAAGTAACTTTTCCTTTGGCTTTTCAAAAAAACCATAATGGTGTCTGTGGGCATTGGTTCATATCTACTGTCTATAAGCCTGGTTGGTCATTTATTTCTTTTAGTAGCCTCAGTGGCAGTAATATGCAGTAGTTGGCGGTAGAACTGTAGAGTTCTCTTAATATGTGCCCACATTTATCTTGAGAAGTTTGAAAGAAATGGAAAAACCCACGCACATATTTTAAAATATCCTGAGGCTTTCTTGTGAAATTGCACTCTTCTTGTTCATAGAAAAAAGTAGCTATGCTCATGTTAGGTTGGGGTAAAATGAAGTGTTTATACATGCTGTAATGTCAGTCCCGATACATCCTACTGTATTCTCCATACCATGTATGTGAATTGTGGGCAGTGAAGATTTTTGCTGTTAAGTGCAGGAGATGCTTTCTGCTTTTATTTACAATGTGCAGAGGGATGTAAAAGTGGCCTTGATGAAATCTGTTGACTCTTAGCAATTCAGTACATTATTTATGATGGGAAAATGGATCTTGAAAAACATATTTGAAGTACAGCATCATTCTTTCCCTTGAATTTTGTTTATTCCATTTCTGCATAGTCTGGAGCTGATAACTGACTAATTATTGCAAGAGGCAGCAAAGGTTCTGTTTTCTTTCCTATAGCTTGTGTTTCCTCGCTTATTCTGTATCTCTCTTCCCTCTGCTGCCCTGCTCTGCTGGCTTTTTTTAATTTTTTTTTTAAATTTCATTTCATCTCCATAGGACACAAAATCAGTTCTTGACATATAGATATAACTACTAATCTATTTTCTCACATAGTCTTAAGACTCTCAAAGCTCTTTTTTTAAAAAAAAAGAAGTAGGCGCATATTAATAAAGTTATATTTACTGAACTAAATGATGCCTCATTTGAGGCAGGAAATCTGTGACTGAGCTCTGACTCTTGGACACGAAATCCGTCCTTCCCATCTGGTCACTTATGTTTCCTCTCATTTTTTTTTAAACTCATCATTTTTCAAACATCTGCTTTCCTTTTCTTTTGTGTCCAACAATGATGAGCAGTGACCACCACAAACCTTGTCAAATTGCTCAGAATCTATTACAGACAAGTTATGTTACAGGTTTTAATGTGTAACCATGATTTACAATCTCTTGAGACCAGGGACCATCTTTTTCTTCTGTTTGACAATGTATTCCCAGTCCTTCACAAGGGCTCTAGGAAACTGGGGTAATACAGTAAGTAACGGTCGATGGGTGTTGAGCACTAGCTAGCAAGGCAGACACGTTTCCCACAGTGAGGTGTGTACTGTTCCGGGTCATTTTCAGTCCTAGGACATCCCCATTTTCCAGTTAAACACGTGATGCTCCTCAATGGCTTATTCATGTTAATTTGTATCTGGGATTTTTGTTACTTTGTCTTGCGTTGCTCCTTCTGATACAAGAACGAATGCCTTCCCCTGTTAATTTATTTCTTATTATCCTCTAAACAACATTGGTGACCTAAAGCTTCCAGCCTACTCCAACCCCTGGACCTATTGCTGTTTTTCATAGTATACTAACAAATGTCTTCCAAGAAGTGTTTCTGCTTTGAGAGCTGTTGTCCTTCCCTTGTTCTTTGAGATTTTGGTTGAGGCTTTATGTTCCACTGACAAAGTCTGGAAGTTTTGTCAATGCCCCTGTTGTCTGTCCTGCTGATAATGGAGTTTAGGACTTCCTGGTCTTTCAATGTTGCCCTCATTTGGCTTCCTTCTTCTAGACATGAGGCCAAGCATAGGACTTGAGTGTGCTTATCCTGGAGTCAAGGCACTCTGTGCTTCTCCAGCTGTGCCTGCTGTTGCTGTGGCTGTGCAGATGTGGAGCCTGCCCTGTGCTGCTCCCTTTTGTTTCGCAGCAGAAGTGCCTAGGGTGAGATTTAACTGAAACCTTACTTATGCCTTGAAAGTTAAGCTCAAACTTTAACCATGATAGAGTGGACAGGCAGTAACAATAGCAGCAGCACTTCTGTGCTCCTTGTTCATGAGTTTCTCCTTTTTCATGTTTTTTCTCCTCCTTTTTCTTGAGTTTCTCTGGGCATCAGATTGGAGAACTGTCAGCTTGGAGAGTATAGAGCAACCACTCTTATATATCTTAGTCGCAAGCTCTTCTTTAAGCAGTGCTGTGTGAGAACCAATGTGCCTCCTGACTGCCTTCACTCAGCTGGGAGAAGCTGGAAATTCATGTCCTGGGTGCTCAGAGAAGCCAGCTGGAAGCACTCAGCACCCCCTTGAGGCACTAAATCAGCTTTCAAATAGCCACTTGTAATGTCACAAGCTTTCAGAAATGCTGGTCATTACTGGGTTTAAAAGCCTGTAGGAATACCTGAGTTTGTTGAAGAACCAGGCCAGCCAGTCAGGGGTTGGTCATGGAGAACACATTCATATAGATATTATAGCATTTTATTTCTTTAGTGTCAGGAAACTCAATTGTAGGCAGAGTAGAGAAGTAACCAGAATTCCCATTTTGTGGGAAATAAATGTCACTTCTGCAGAATGACAGTAATGCAGCAGAAAATGGAGACCAAAAGTGCTTCTATCATAACCTTGGTGGGATTGCATGCTCAGCGTGCTTCCCAGAGGGGACCCTGAAGAGGGGTACATGGCTCTCCAGCAGCTCTGGCTGTGGAAAATGCACATTGTACTCTATCACAAAAGGAGAGAGCTTGGTAATCCTTTTATCTTGTTTTTATTTTTTCTTATCCCCTTTTTTGAGTAGAGTGAACCTTAAACCGGCAGCACACTTGACAAAATCCCTCTGTTTTTCTGTGTCTAAGCACTGGTCTCTGCAGACCCAGTTGCATTGTGTTGGTGTGTATCAGGTGAGCTCATTTTACTCGTTTTTTTCAGAGTCGCTTTCCCTCGACCCCACTATTTTCCAAATGTTGCATTTTTCCCTATCTCACTTTTTTCCCCCATCAGCTTTAAATTGTTGCCATGGACTTCAGGACTTAAATAAATAGGTGACAATTATGTTATTGTTAGCTAAGATTCCCTCCCCTAAGAAGAGTCTCTTCACAAGTTAGTTAATGATGTTTTTATTAGCATATATTTTGGTTCATGATGCCCTAAGTAGCTTCTAATTACAATGCTTTGTCTGAATACCTTGGGTGGCTGCCAGCTTTCCCTTTTGCCAGCTGAGGAATATTATAGCAAATAGTTAGGGAGCCTGAGGGCCATGTTTCTAGGGCAGGAAAATTTATCTCTGTCCTTTTTAAATTTACTGTGTTGAACTCTGGGATTTTTAATTTTGTTTAATAGAAGGAGCCTCAATTACTTGAGCCCAATTTAAACCTTGATAGGAATTACCCTGACTTGTGGGGCTTTTTTTTTTTTTTAAGCTGCTCCATTTCCAGGAAAAGGCTGACAGATGACTGATGAGATATTTGCAGCACTTTATAGCCCCCTCTTTTCCAAGTGACAGTAGTTTTTCTGGTAATTTGAAGACAGTGTCACAAAGTAAGAAGTGAAAATGCTCCTTGAAAAGAGGGCTTGTCCTTGCTGCAGTCTTGACTGGAACGCTTCCCCAAAGCGGAGCAGCCTAATCACTGGGCTTATGGATGCTTCCTCTGAAACCAGACTATTCTGAGAGGAGATAACACCAAGTATCAATGACGTGAATTACGTGGCCTGAATTTTGCTCTGTGGCTTTATGTAGGCAACGCTGACGGTAACCCACAGCTACCACAGACAATGTGGAGGTGGTTCCCTGTACATGGTGTAAGAACCTCATCGTGATGAGCTACTGCATGTGTGCTGCAAAGGTCAACAGGTGGCTTGGTAGTATCTGCATTTGTGAGAGCACAAGTGGCATTAGGGTTAATAAGTGAATATGTTATTTTTGCTATTTTTAGAGTGAGAATAAAGCACGGTAAATCATTTAAGAGATGCATGTGGGTGTGTTTTTTCTTAAGCTTCGACAAACTTGTAGCATGTATAGCATGACAGTGAGCCGTGATTTAGGTGTAGTCTTTTGCATCTTTTGTTTGTTGACTGTAAACTTCAGAAGGGCTAAGCACAGATAATTTCTGTGATGTTGCCAAGGTTTTATTTTTCTGCCTATTTAAAATACCTTTGAAAGATAATCCTAAAGTGTTAGAATTTTCCCCTCTTCACTTCAAGGATTCCTACATATTTGAAGAAGATGTTCATTATTTCATATATATATGTGTGTGTGTGTGTGTTCTTTAACTTAGCTAGCAAAAAGTGCCTATAGGTCAGAGACAGACCGCTCTTTCTTGATTTATTCAGCTTGCCAATCCTGAGAACTGGAATCTCAGCCGTCAATCATGTAGGGA